AGCTGTACCTGAGAGCATTTTGAGGTGCTTTTAGGTGTAAAGACTTGTTTACAGGTTAGTGTTGACTTTTATTCATCCAAACTCTGCAACTAGCTTTTCCGTTTCATTTGGGTTCCTAGCAGAGATGGAATCTGGATCCTTGAATTTCCTTGAATTATCCTTGAATTTCAGGAAAGTTCAGATACAGTTCAGATATTTCTCAGGATCTGAACTCTGCTACCATAGATTCCTACTACTCTGCTACCATAGATTCCTACTACTCTGCTACCATAGATTCCTACTACTCTGCTACCATAGATTCCTACTACTCTGCTACCATAGATTCCTACTACTCTGCTACCATAGATTCCTACTACTCTGCTACCATAGATTCCTACTACTCTGCTACCATAGATTCCTACTACTCTGCTACCATAGATTCCTACTACTCTGCTACCATAGATTCCTACTACTCTGCTACCATAGATTCCTACTAGTAGCTTTTTCTGTGATGGCTGAATCTTGGCCAGAGACTGTGTGTTGCTTGTGGCAGTGCAAGCTCTTCTGGGAGTTAGAGCCAGAAAGAAGTTCTGTCTGTGTGCAGCAGCCTAAGTTACAGCTCAAATTCTCTTTTATTGTGAGAGAAGTCAGGGAGTGAGAGGGCTAATTTCTTGTCAGTGGTTCTGAAGTGAAATTTTTTTTTTTTGAGGCACTAGTTCAAGTGTTAAGGCCTAAGCTTGATTTCACTGTAGTTAACATGAGAATTTTTCCTGACTCCTGAAGGTTAGGTTTGCTCTGTAAATGGCACCCCAGGAGGGACAAGTCTCCTTTGCTGGGATTCCAAGGCTCTTCTCAGTCCTGAGTGATACCTGAGTTGGCTGCAAGTTCTCTCTGGCTGTTAGAGGCGGCTTCTGCCAAGAAAAATAGAGGCTTGCATGCTTATTGCTGGGATTGCTCATGCATGCCATAGTAATTAAATAATAATACCACAAGGATGGAACATTCATTTAAACTGTCAATCATGCTTGCACTAGAGAAATTGGGGAGTGCCATGGCTGTCTTGCACAGGGTTTTGTAATTTAAGGATGCCACTGGAGAGCTTTTTTTTTTTTTTTTTTTTTCAAAAAAAAAAAAACTTTGGGAGATTTCCTTTGTCATTTATTTTCCTGGGATGTGCCATCTGGCCTTCCCCCCCTTACCCCCGATGAGCTGCTCTCTGGCCTGTTTCTGTTCAGTCAGAGCTCCAGAAAGGCTGCATACATCTGTTTGTCTTCACAGTTAAAGGTCAGAATCTACCTGAGATTGCTGGCTTTTGTTGCTAGCTGGCCTATCTCCCCATTTTGCGGTGGAGGGAGGTGTATGCCTGTTTTGTGGCCTGGTGGGACTGTGGGATATTTGAGCAGTCTCTTCCACATCTGCAACAAGTGCTGCTTCCCAGTCCCTAAGAATCTGGTCTTGTTTGCTGTGTTCTGGAGGCTGTGCTTCTGAGTTCTTGCCATATGGGCCATCCCTTTCTGCACAAGGTGGATTGATTTTTGTTTTCCTTTCCTCTGCAGCTGTTCTTTTCATGGCTTATGTTACAGCCTTGAGGGAATACTCCATCCTACCTGAGTTGGGCGCTTCCATTCGTTGGGCGCTTCCATTCGTTGGGCGCTTCCATTCGTTGGGCGCTTCCATTCGTTGGGCGCTTCCATTCGTTGGGCGCTTCCATTCGTTGGGCGCTTCCATTCGTTGGGCGCTTCCTTCTGTTTTGTGAGCTGCACTGCAGCTTTACCACGGACCTGTCAGTCCCAGTCGCTGAGGTAGAAAGGCATCTGCTTTCTTTGGGCAAAGCACAGATAAGCTTTTACGTGCTTCTGTGTTTATGAGCTTTGTAAACTTAGTTGCTCATAGTCACCTGTAGATACGACCTTCGTTTGTATGGTGGTGTTGTGCCCATATGTTTTCAGGTGGAGAGAAGTAAGAAAGAACTGGATTATCCCATCAGAAACATTTAAGCCTCCATGAAACTCAGATAAAAATACTTCATGTCTCTTGTGGAAACAAGCTGCACCTCATGTGCTATTCTAAGGACTTCTGCAAACTTTATAAAGGTTTGCATTTACACTTTACATTTGCATGTTGGAATAAATGGAGAGGTTTATACCAAAGGACTATCTCAGCATGTCTTTGATTTCCTTCTTATACTTGGCAAAAATCAGCAGTAAAGCAATCTTTGAGAAGATTAAAAAAAAATTACTGAGGTAACTTAGAGCTGTCTAATAAGTCTTGGGTGCTATGAGTAAAAACAGCAAATAATAAATAACATGGCTAAAACAAACAACTTACTAGAACCCCTAGGCTAAACACTCAACCTGCAACTGATTGTAAACATGGTTATAAATATAAAAAGCCTGTTCCAGGCTAATTTGTGTACAGAAATAATGAAGTAGCTTGCTATGAATAGCTTGTCTTGCTCTTGTTTTAGAGACATGCACTAAATCTGAGCGTTGGGGGAGGAGTGTGCCTGACAGCCATAACTCTTTCACTAATTACTTAATTACAGTGGAATGCATGAACAATATGGCGAAATTACTTGGGATAGCCTTGCTTTGGCTTGAAGCACAGACACCAGCTACTCTGTTTGCAGCCATCTACCTGGAGGGAAGGATGAGTGGATTGTCTGAATAGAGCAATTTGATAGGAGTAGATCTGCCTGTGGATCGTGTCTGAACAGTAAATCACCCAAAAATTGCTGAATGGAGAAGATAAAGTTGACTTCATAGAGTTTCTCAGACATATCTTTAATAAATATCCTTGCTCAGTTCACAACACATTTGTAATTTCTGGGGGACTGTTCGCGTTCTGCTGGTTTATAAACCATCTATTGACACAAGCTGTTTGAAATAAATACTTTTGATCACAGGAGCTCCAAATTGTATGGACTGAACCCATGCGGCTGGATGCATGCCGGGGAGAGAGCTTTCCAGCCTCTGCGTCAGCTTAGAAACACCAGCATTCCTTATAACCACAAGCTGGAACTCCAGCAGACTTCCAAGATCTACATTTGAAACAATTTATTTTGCAAGAATTTTTCATAGCAGATCATACAGACTGTGGTCTTTTCTCTTCCATATGGGCTTGGCCTGGTATTTCTAGCCAAAATTTGCAATCCCCTGCATCCAGTTCCTGGTGCTCTTGGACAGTGACGTATATTGCAGGTATTGGGACTGCAGCTCTACCTGTATTCTAAAGGTGAATTGTTTCCCACTTACTTCTGCAGAGTGTTTTAAAGGGAATCTATGCTTATAAGTGGTACTAGAAATTCTATCAAAAATAACCATTGTACTCTGAGAAGTGGTAAGTGCTTTAAGGAGCCAAATGAGACCTGTAATGAGCAGACTTGGATATCTTTGCTAAGTTCGTTGAATTGGAATCGTGTTGTAAGGTCACTGTTACTACAGATGCCACTGTTTGTAGAGCTGTAACATCAGAGCTGTGGCAGAACTGTGTCTAGTAGTCTCCGACTAGTAGGAGCTTAATAAACATGGGCAAACACTTCCAGATCTGAAAAGTGCGCTGTTGTTGACAGACTTTGCTTTTATGCTTTTCTTGCTCCCGTCTTTTCTCCCTGCTTAATGGTAACAAATGGGTCAGTATTGATTTATTTCAATTCATTTAAACTTTTAGCAATCAAGGAATCCTTTTGAATGTTGTTTAACCCTCTACTGCCTTCTGTTATTTTCCTGTTGAAATTCTTATCTGTACCTGTTCCATCTCTCTGGGAGAAGAGAAGCCTCGTTTTTTTGAATAAATTTCAAAAGTTGCAAATAGTCATGATTGAGGGGGTGGAGGAAAGGTTGGTTGTTTTTGTTTTTTAGATTTGAAGTATTCATTGAAAGAGCCAGAGGAGAAATACTACATTAATGAGTCTGGATTCCTAAGTATGATTCGTGAGAGAGCTTGTGCTTTTATCCTCATTGTAATGGACGTTTGGCAGGCTGATGCGTGAACAGGTTGGAACCTCCATAGTCAACAGTTAGTTGTTTTTGACAGGAGATTGGCATGGTATCGATAACAAATGATTTCTGGTGCCATTTTTTAAAATATAAAGTTAGAAGTTCATGCCCAGCCCAGGAGAAGAACAACAGGAATGGCTATTTGATCACTTACTTCTGACCGCCTATGGGAGGTGAGCACTGGGAGTTCAATATGAAGTGGACCCAAACTCTTATGAACAGATCCTGGTTTTTGTCCAGACTTCGTTTCAAAGGGATCCAGAGCTGGGCACTATAATCTCTCAGCTTCTCTGGGTGATTTCTCTGCGGCTGTGATATACTTGCAGAAAATAGGAAGGGGCAGGTAGTTAAATTTGCGAACGTGCGTCTTTTGTCGGTCAAACATGGGCTTTGTGTTCCATGTGACTTGTTCTTCTCTGTGCGTACATTTGCCATTCTGCAGCCTGTAATTTGAAAACTATAGAGTATTTCAAGGTTTTCTGTTGGTTCAGGCAGTAGACAACAGTCTGGAGACTTTGCATTCTCTGAATTCATGTAGTGGCTGAAGAGATACAGTGACATCAATCTTTGTTCTCGTTTCTCTTCAGATTCTAGAATCTCCAGATCCTCGAATCACAGATCCACGGCGTACCTGGATTTCCTTTGTTCACCGCCCGGATGATGGCAACACCTCCAAAAGGAGATGCAAAGGGAAAGACAAGAAATTAGTAGGTTATTGCTAGATTGACACCAGCTAACAAATGTGCACCATGGCTTCCCTTCCCACTGCTGTTACACAAAGTGTTTTGTGCGTTACCAGCTTTTGCATTCCCCAATTTTTGCGTACCCCAGAGACAGCATTTTCGTTTGTTTGCCTTTAATTTCCTAAAAGTATTTTTGAGATGTTTGGGACAATAAGTGCGGTGTACTTTGTAATGTGGTAAGTGTTTGTGAATTCCACTGTCAGCATTGATTTTTGTTTAAATAAGCTGTTTCTTAGACAGAGTAGCCTTTTGTTGTTTTGTTTTGTTTCTTTCTACTTAGTAGAAAAAAATTAGCATTTTACTTTCACTATAAAATGCAGGCATCTCAATAGATCATAATCAAGATATGGACAAATCATCACAAGCAATATTTGTTTAAAATTAATGAGTTACTGGTCATGTGCTCAGTGATGATTGATCATATGTGCTATTCTTCATCTGCCACTTAGACAATCTTGAGTATGATTTAAATGAATTCCTTTTATTTTCCTGGTGAGCAGATACAGAAGTGTTTCCAAGCAGGTTTACTGCAGTTTAGTGGATGAAACAGGAACTCTCAGGAACAACATACAACGAAAGAGCATTGACAACTCCGCTGCATGTTCGTACTACCAGTTTAAAGCCCTAAAATGCTTTGTGGAGAACCTTTTCCAGGTGTTTTGAAGGAGTTATTTCCTTTTTTGAGAGTTCTGCTGTCATACCAAACATTCACATACTTAACATGATTGTTACATCAAGCAATATATATTAATAATGTAAAATGTTGCTAGGTGGCTGTTCTAGTTAGCTAATAGGCAGAATAAGAAGCAGCTTAAAAGGCTGCTGGTGTGTTACTTTGGTAATACTGGAAGATAGAGAAGCAGCAAACTTAGCTTTGTTCCTGTTGTGCTTCACACTGTTTATATGTACCTGAAGAACTTGTTGGTGTTTACCCAAGCGACATTAATCCTCCTGCATAAATATGTGAGTAAATTCCAAGTGCTAAAATCCACTGCTGGCTGGAGAGCCACTTTAAGATTTACTGCATTAGTCTTTTAGTTGGACTGACAGCAGAGAGGGGCTGATCACATAGCTGACAGATTTGTAGACCTGGCTCATGGCAGACAGAATTTTAAGTGTGTCAGTGCAATTGCCTGGTTCTAATTTTAGTATTTTTCTTTGGCTACTTCCTTAGCGTGGCCTTGTTGGGCCGCCAGGACCTCCTGGTCCCCAGGGACCACCAGGAGCACCTGGTGCTGAAGTCACCCGGGAAGTCCTTCTGCAGGAGTTCAAGGATGTATTAAAAGGTAAAGATCATAAGACCTTTCTGCTTCTGTGACCTGTTTTTTTTCAGTAAGCACGATGACAAAAAAACAAACCAGCTTGGCAAGTGTTTATTCTAAAGCATTCCCTTACCTAGCAATGAAAAGTTTAAGAAAAAAGTTTTTCCCTAGTGCTGCTCAGTCCAAATGTAAGAGTGTAGTGCAGAATAGAGGTCTAGCCACACAGCTAATGGCTTCATAGACAGTCTTTCTTCCTCTACTTTTTTCTTTTCTCCTCAGAAGCCATTGAGCGGCGGGCATCCCTGGCTATATCAGCCCATCCTAGCCAGCTTCCTCCGCTCCTGCTCTCCTTGGAGGAAGTTTCACCTCACAGACGCATAGAGGAGGCGTTCCACTGCAAGCTAAAAGGACAAGTCATTGTAGATAAGAAGACCTTGGTAGAACTTCAGAACTTCCAGTCGGTGAGAGGGAGTTACAGACTGAACCTGTGCAGCTCCACAACAGCAACTGTGCATAGATCAGCTATAGTTCCCCTAGTCTGCAGAGCTGCTAGGTGGTTCTGTAGATGAAGGTATTTCCTGAAAGGGAATCTAATCCCAGAAGCTCATCTCAGGCCTGGATGCTGTGAATATAGCACTGTTTTTTTTTGTTTTTTGGGTTTTTTTTTTTGTAACTGACAGAGGTGGGATCTCATATGGCTGTATCAGCCCTAATGCTCAACTGCAGTAGGATAAGCATTTAGCTTGGAGTCCACTCCTTCCTGACAAACCTGAGAGGCTGACTTTCTTTTGCAGCTTGGCTAAGTATCAGTACAGTTCTTACTGAAGTGCTAACAGGTCTGTGCAAGAGAGAGCTATCTCACAGGTCCAAACAATAGTCAGTCACTTAATTTCAGTTAATGACAGAGAAAGACTTGTCCACATTTGGCATTAGTCTAGAGGATCTGTTCTGTTTTCAGTGCACATTTTATTCTAGTCCAGAGAAGCTTTCAGATGTAGAAGAATGTCAGAGGCAGACAAAAGTCACTTGGCATAGATTTGTGAGCCCACAAACAAGAGCCGTTATTTTGTTAAATGGGTCAATCTTGGTGATAAAATTCTTTGGCTCTTACAGAGGACTAATAAATGTTACCTATAGAAGTTCATTATGGTCATGGTATAATGGTAAGCATACCATTAGGGGATGCTGTAAGTCATTAAAAGCATAGTTAAAAGCAGCCTGTTGCATTTGCTAAATTATTAAAACTAGTTCTAACCATTTATGAACCAGTTGCAAATAGGATCTGAGTTTGAAGTATAAATGTTAGGTGCAAAGTACTAGCTAAATACAAATAGTTATTTGGTAGCTGAGGAGACTTATTCTGGACTCTGTGGTCCAAAAGAGTTTCTAATAGCATAGAGCCTTTATGTACATGGTCGCTTTTCTGATGTGATAAGAAGTGGTGTGTGAACAGGGACTATGGCTCTCAATCAGCAGTGTTTGCTATGTAGGAGGTGCTGAGCTTTCTTGACAGCTGCACTGAGTCCCATCTCTGAAGAGTCCTGTCCAGCAGATACTTACCTGTGGAGTAAGCTCTGCTTTTAGAAAGACTTCTCACAGCTGCAGGACTAGAGGCAGCGGTTATGTTTCCAGATGGGTTGCTTTTCCTGGTTCTTTCCCAGATACACTCGTGGAAGCCTGGTTTGACAGCACTGTGGGTGCTGGCACAGAAGCAAGATTGTACTTGAAGTGTGGGCAGGGCTAGAGAGATGTGTTGCCTCATTAATTAGAAGGAAAATATGAATAAGGCCATCTCAGCAATCAGTGTGTAGGCTGATGCTTCCCATGCTTTATCATCATATACCTAGCTTCTTTCTAATTGCTCCTGGCCCTGAAGCTGATGTGGGAGGGTTGGCAAGCCTCTGGATGCCAGCCTTTCAACTTTGGGACAAGAAGTGTCTGGTTTTAGTTTGTGCTCTGATGATTTTAGCAGGGAGGGAGACAGTGGATGCTCTTGCAAAAATGATAAGTGTTGTCTTTAGAAAGTCCAAGGGAGAGAGAGAATTCCCCTACCTTCATCCTATCAGTTCAACAGGGCGGAGAGCCAAGGATTTGATACTTCCCATTGAGATGATAGGAAATGAATCTTATTCCTGATTTTGGACTACATCCAAAACATTTTGAGATCAATGCAAAGATAACTAGTGCTGCAAAAAGACCTAGCTCTCCTACACCCTGTTTGAGTCTGGTGCCTCTGTCACTTTGACAGAGAGTATTCAGAGAGTTTGGTTTTCTCATCCTTCCATGCTAATTCTGTTCCAACAGCATTCCTTCTTCCTCTTCCTCTTGGTCTCATGAGTTCCTTGGTATGTGGAATGAAACAGGTGATACTTCTTCCCCCAAACTTCTACCTCTGGTTTCTCAGTATTTGAGGTTTCTGACAATTGCTTCTTGCAAATGCTTTCAGAAATGTACTTTACATAGCAAGACTTGAAGTAACTGCCACCTCTGACAGGCCAAGGAAGTGAGATTTGTCTGGGGCCCAGGAATATCACTGGAGCCATATCAGATCATTTAAGGCTAGGGTGGCCCATGTGCTGTTCATTCTGAAAGATCCCAGCAGTTCTGATGTCTCTACTGTCTTGAGATCAGGCTAAGTGTCTATGGCAGTTGAATTTTAATGCTGCTTTGAAAGATCAGTAGATCCCCTGTGCTTTATGCAAAGCATGACTTTTCCATCTCTTTAATAGATAAGTAGATTCATCCACAGTGTTTATCACTGAAAAGTGAAAGTGGCAGTTCATATCTCAGTTCCTCTGTGCATGGTTCCTACTTCCCACCAGGAAGTAAATTATGGAATAGTACATCATGGAATGTATGAGGGAGATATGGGGACAGGGGATGGGCTGAGGAAGAGAAGCTGACCTTGGTTTGCAGAGAATGGTTCCGCACTAGCTTGTTTACTTGTTTTGAGGCTACTTGTTGAAATAAGAGGTTTACAAGTTGTTAGTTTCTCAGATAGAAATCCCTGCAGCAGTTGAAGCAGCTAGATGAGTATGCAGCTGTGAAGCAGCAAAAGCAGCAGGGAGCTCTAATTGGCCTGGAGTTTAATGGAGTATTTTTGCCCAGAGAAAACTCTTGTTTCTCAGAGCCAACCCTTTGCATTGTCTGCTTCTGTGAGCAGAAGAATGACAAAGCCACAGAGGGCATGAAGAAACAGGAATGCTTTATCAGTGATAATTTACTGGTGCCTAAAATTGCCTTCCATGCTCAGCCAGTGGTTTTGGAATTAGGTTGCTGATTCTGTTAACAGCTGTAACAAGAAAAGAATGGATTAACTATGCAGAACAGTTTTGCGCATACAGGGCTTGGATCTGCTCTCAAAGTGATGTAAATCAAAAATAGCGCTACCACAAATGATGGAATAGTGATAGCATAAGAAGAGAATCAATCACACTTCACAGTCTTTGCAGTTAGGGTATCTGTTATATTGTGTGCATATATGTATAAAGAAAATAGAGCTCCTTGTGTGTGCGTGTGTGTGTGTATATACATATATATATATATATACACACACACACACATATATGTGTGTGTGGGAATGCATTTACATTGCACAGAATGCCCTTGTGGTGGAAGCAGAGTCTGACTAATGTGCTTTCTTGGCCCACTGAAGCCATTGCTGCTTCTTCACAGCTCTAGCCAAATCCATATCAAGCAGGCCAAAACTAACAATAAACACTTGACGCAGAGTTTATTTTAGCCTAAGTCAGATAATCTGCTGCGAGTTTGACTTGAGACTGCTTCCTTGCCGTAAGGAGATGCTGCATGCTGTTTCACTAGGTTTTTGCCTATTCTGTAGAATCTAAGGCCAGAAGAGAATGAAGCTAAATATGGAATCTGTAAGAATCCAAGGAGTGGCTTTTTGTTTGTTTTTGTTTGTTTTTTTTAATTGCATTAGAGCAGTCTGACTTAGACTTGAAGTGGGTAAGACCCATATGTTTATTTCTTTTGTACTTCTATCACAAAAACATTGTGTAAGTGATCAGATTTTTAAGTCTGGGGACACTACTGGCCCCGCCTAGGAAGTCTCTGAAAGTAGGAGGGACGGACCTCTTGACTCAAATAATGGGAATATTGCATATCAGAACATCAGTGGAGGCTGGTGACCACTAGGACCAGCAGAGTGTAGGGATGCAATAGGCAAGGTCTGAGACAGGGTAGCAGAGCTGCTGCTGAAAGACTTAAGTCTTGGGCAGGCAAAGCCAAGATGAGTTAGCAGAGCTGGTTAGTGAGTAGTAAGGGTATCTTCACACCTGATACTGATAATTTTGCCTTTTGAGGCCATAAAATGCTCAGAGTTCTTTCAGAAGATGCATTCTGGAGAGATGAGGCAAACTTTTTCAGCTCTATCCTCAGGCATGTCAGCTTTTTATTTTTGTTGTGGGCAGATGTAATTGTTGAGGCTGCTGGGGATTGTTCAAGGTCCTATTTTCTTATTTTACAGCCTCTGGCTAAAGGAGCTTTTCTCCGGGGGACAGGCCTAAATCTGGCAACAGGACGTTTCACAGCACCTGTATCTGGTATCTACCAGTTTTCAGCCAACGTCCACATTGGTGAGTTTGGTCCACAGAAGCCTTCTATATACCACTGGAGAGGTGCAGCAAGGAGTCCTGGAGCACTCTCTTGGGTCCTGTTTGATCTGAAACATGTGCAATTTGCAGTAAGCTCTCAGCAGCCCCTTTGGTACCATGACCTGAAACCCTGGCCTTAGAGCTAGGTAACTTCACAGGCTGATAGCCACAACAGGCTGCTCCACTGCAAGCCAAACAAATCAACACTACTTATGGAATGTGATATAAGGGACCAAATACGTTCATGTGGGGAAAGTATGGCTTCAGTAAAAGACATTAGAAAGAACAAATATGAAGGGATAAAGCTGAATCGAGACAGTTTTAACTGTGACACGTCACCAGTGCCTTCCTCCAATTATATTCATCCTTCAATGATGTTTTAAGGGTGCTTTCCTAAGAAGCCACAATGTTATTGGTGACTCTTAAGACAAACACCAGCAAGTGGTTGTCTACTATGTTGCAAAAGCGTTTTATTTTTGTTCCACTGCTTTCCCAAGACCACAGTGAGTTGAAGAGTAAAGTCCAGCTCCGAGCCAGAGATAATGTCCGAGTGTTGATCTGCATTGAATCTCTCTGCCACCGATACACGTGAGTTACTGCCACGCTATCTTGTCAATTATTTTTGTCAAATGCCATGTGCACAAGAAACACTTTACAAACTTCCTTTCAAAAACCTCCTGGACCATCTCAAAGTGTGCTGAATGTTGATCTCCAAACTGATTCCGTAGGGAATTGTAGTATCTTTTATTAATCCAGCTAATAGAGTTGAAAAGAAATTAAACAAATTTTTAGGCATGACCTGAAAAATACGCAACAAATTTCAAGCTAAAATTCATCAGCACAACAACTCTTAAAAGATGACATAATTAAGTTTAAACTAACTTTGTTTTAAACCGGCTGGCTTTAGTTCCATTCATAAACAAGCTGTGGCAGCAGTCAAGTCAGTGCAAGGTTCTTCCAGGTACTCTGGCAAGTTTTATAACTGTTTCAGAATAGAGGCAGCTGATGTCCTTGTGGAGGTAATGAATTTGATGGGCCAGTGTTTCAACCAACTGTGCAGGTCAGATTCACCAACAATGAATTTTGAACCAAAAACACTTGTAGAACTTTTCCTACGAGAGTGATTCCATCTGGCCTTTAGGCTGTGTGTGCTTTTTTTTATTCTGATTTTTAACTTTTCAGTGGATAGTGCTAGTTGCTCTATATGAATACTGCATATGTTGAGAGAGTTGTGAATGAAAAGCTGAAATTGGATGTGGCTATGGGTGCTGAAAGTAAAAGATTGGGAGAGAGATGGAAGATAAGAGTCTTCTGTTGTGTTTTTTGGAGCCTACATTGTGATTATGGTTCTGAAATACAGAAGCTGTTGTGATTTTTTGCAAGTTTTATTAGCTGTGAATACAGTTTCTTGCCTGTCCTGACTTCACGTAACCCCACACTCATCAGCTGTTTCCTGAACTTTAACAACTGAGGCACTTTGCTAAATTCCTGAGGTGTACAAGTTGTCATTATGGTTACCAGTTTGACCCACCAACCTGATCATTTTTCTGAGGAGAGATGTCCCTGAACACCTGCCACTCAGCTGTCATCATAAACATACAGAATGGGAGGAACATTTGAATTTTGTGTTAGAGATAGTTAGCTCTAACAGTTAGTTAGATGATTAGTTTTTATAATTTCAGCTGCATTCTGAATGGAGCTCAGCATTTCACAGATGTTGCTATTCAAAGTGCTGGAGTGATGAGAAGAATGAATAGGTAGAAAACTGAGGTGTATGGATCCTGAAGCAGAAAGTGCAGGGCTTGCATAAAGGAATGATATACCTACTCACAGCCCTTAGCAGCCTTGTGGAGCTTGCTCAGATGACCATGCAGAATTTTCCTCTGCTGGGGGCCATTAACAAACCTCTGTTAAGCTCTTTCATTAGGCCATGGCAAGCTTTGGTGTCAGTGCTTGTGTGACGAGCCATGCCATCAGCTACTGTTGCTTGCTGTGGTTCTGTCTTCCCTTCTGTTGCACTGCAGAACTACCCTGTGCCTCAGAAAAGGCTAGCTTCCTCAGGAGGAGACTGTCAGGCTTTGCTTGGAGGAAAGGGCTGGCAAACACCTGGGAGGGCCAAAATGCACCTAGCAGAGGGCAGCGCTGCTTGCATAGCTCATCCCCTGCCTCTGCAGCTACCCTTTGGCCTTTGTTGTGGGAGGAAAAAATACCTGTGGAAGGCTATGCAGATCTGCTCTGCCCTGCCTGCAGATCCCCTAGGGTGGCCGCAGCAATGCTTTTGCAGTAACACCACTGAAATATCCGTAAAACAACCCCAGAGATAAAGTTTAAAATCCAGAAATTTGCTCTTGGGCTGGCCATTCCAGCCTTCGTCTTCCTTGCTCCAGGACTTGGAACGCTGCAAATGGGACTGACCTCTCCATGGCACTTCAAGTTAGAGACTTTATTGGAGCATAAATTTGACATGAAATGTCATATAATAAATATCAGCTCTTGCTCTTAGGTTTCATTGGCCTGTGGAAAAGACCTGTTGGTGCCAGAGTACCCATTAGTAACTAGGGTAGCAGGGAGCTGTTGCCCACTGACTGGGTAGGAAGACAAGGAGCTTGTTGATTAGAGCAGCTGGCACCTATTCTGCTTTGTAGACTGTTTTATAACAATCTTTTATGATTGCAGCACTTTAAATGAGGCAGTGACAGACTGGCTGCAGTTGCAATGTCAGCAGAGGGGGGGGGGGGTGCCCGAAGGGATGCTTTATATTCTGGTAAGCTGCAGGACTCATGAGACATCTCATTTCTGGCACTTGTGAGAAGTGCTTGAGCTCATGCTAAGAACTTAATTCAGCCTGTTCTTGGAATCAGGGACGCCTGTTGACACTGAATGCTCTAAGGGAAACTCAAGCTTATATTCACATAGCTGGAACAGGCATGAGTAGGATGGAATGTTACTGCCCTTTTTACCAGTAGCTCTCATAGTTTCCCTCTGCACAGTGCAGATCCCCATTCCTATGTTTCGCTATGCATGGCAAAGACCACTTACATTCAAGCAATCAGACAAGTTTTCCTTTCTGCAGTGCTAGACCTTTATTTCACCTACAGCAAAATCCTCTTATCTTAGCAGTTTCATCAAGAGCAGGACTTATACCCCTATCCCTTGGACTCCCCATGGACAGACACTGAAGGTCCGTAGAATCTTTTTCTACATGCTTTTGGGTTGTGGAAAGATTTTCTCATTTGATGGTGTTGACCTGGTGAAGTTATCAATAAAGATTTGCATGAGTCAGTGGATGAAATTTAGGAAGTCACCTAAGATGACTTTTAAAGTGAAACTTATCCTGCAGATCTCCAAGAGTGAAAAGGTATTTTCACTTTCTGAACTCTACTTTACATTGTCTTCAGTTACAGAATAATACAGAAGATCTAAATTCAGTTTTCAGGTAGCACAGAACTTGTGATTTCTCCAAGGTTTAGAGAGTGCTACAAGGGAACTGAGATAGCTGAAAGTAATTACCTGAATACAGGTGAAATCTGATTGTTATTTTTTAAGGATTTATGGAGTGGGTGCTAATGGAAAAGGATCTCATTATATGTTCATCAGAAATCTATTTGTAGAATATTTCTTAAACTCTGATCTCATTACTTGAAAATAAGTCTGATTTATAGAACCCATGAAGCCATTGCATGTTGGCTTGGGGCTTCTTTGTTTTAAAGACCTGATATTTTTAGTGTGAAGCTCTTTGGAAATAATTGACAGTAGATGCTTTTTCAAGCAGGAAAGATAAACCATTTCAAAAAATAAATGAAGATACCAGTGGTGAGTTTTTCTTCCTTATCTGATTTCCCAGACTCCTACTGCTTTGATGAAGGCATCAGAGAGAAAACAGTGATTTTTCTTCTGGGAGGCTCACTCATCTCTCCAAGAAAGTGTCTCTCTGTGTGTCTCTTTCTTCTTTGCTGTCCATTTGAATCATCCTTAAAGTACCATTACTGAAGAATGGATGTCAGTCTGACTGCTTTCAACATGGCTTTACCCTTTCTTCCTTGTTTTTGTAAACACAGGCACAAAGACTTAGCCAAAGCATGCTGTGGAGGTGTGGCTTAGCCTCACCTGAATAGGAAGCTTCCCTGCAGGTTACAGAAAGTACATTGCAGGTCTCTCTCTCTGTAAGCTCCTAACAAACTTCTGGTACCAGCTGGGATGCGTGCGAACAAGCTTCTTGTCACCTAGTGCCCAGGCAGATTTATTGGGATGTTTTGAGGTTAATTTGCCATTCTGAAGAATTTATAGTTGCATTTTCCAAATAACAGTAGCAGTAAATTTTTGTGTTTTTTGCTTAGTCAGGACTGACCCAAATATTAATTGTTTAGACTCGATCGAGTTCTCTGTCTGACTCAGTTTTCATCAGCTATCCAAGGTAGCCATTTGTGATCTGTTGTCCTACAAGGCTGTCCTGGGTTGAGTGAGTTGAACAGCAGTAGCAGTAAAGTGGGATCAGCACTAACTCTGAGACATCTCTCGTTCTGATATGGTGGGTGAGAATATGACTGGTCTGTGGAGTGGAAGGAAGGTGGGTGGAGGGATGGGAACTTGTCCGGACAGACATTCTACTGGCACAGGCTGAGTTTCTACCAGTGCTTGTGGAATTTCCTGAGGATGTCTACATACAGAGTCATTCATTTTAGGGAGTTGAAAGAGCCTTGAGGGCTTTCAACAGAGGGAGATGGAAACTGAGAGGCAAGGAAACAGTCTAGGTAGGAGAGATTAATGGTGGGGAGTTCCCACCCAAGTTAGGCTTTTGGCAGGATGTGACACACAGACTGAGCTCTTCAATCAAACTGGTGCCAAGTGGCTTGCTCTCTCTGGGCCAAATTGCCCCTACCTCATATGCATATTATTGGAAAAGGGGCTGGAAACAGTGCGTGTTTGCACTTGCTAGGTTTTGTCATCACCCCTTCATGGAAAAAAGAAGGAGGGGGTTGGTTTTCTTGGGAAAACAACTAGAGCTGCTACCCACTGGCATGGCAGATTTCAGAAGTACCAACCAGGCAAGGAGCTCTGTGCTTTTATATTGCTTTGGCACTGTGCTCACGCGGGTTGTTCTGATGGTTGTTGTCTTAGGCACCCATACAAAGAAGCAGAGTTCCAGAAACGGAGGATGCCACAGAGAGAGGCCATCCTACATCTTACTACTGCAAGGAATATGAAGGCTGTTAGGATGTTAGAAAAGAACAATGCTTGAGGGGTGACCTGGAGCTCTCCCTCAAACCTTAACTGGAGCACAATTTCTTTGGATTGTAGGTGAGGCCTGAGCCAAATGTCCTCCCAAAATAGCTTTCTGCTGCAGAGTATGTTCTTTCTTGCATAGGCTGGCTCTGTATATTGTTAAGGTGAAATAGTCTTTCACACCTTGAGAATGAATGGACTGTTATTGAGAGACTGCATATAGCAAGCCTCTTTGTAGAACAGCAAGAGTACCGGCTGTTGCGGGGGTCAACAAGCTGTGGGATGTGACATGTAGATAAATCCAAAGGACACGTTTAGCACGCTGTGCAAGGCTGGGAGATCGAGACCACATGACCTTCAAAAGGCCTCTGTGACAGGAGGTGGCTCCTAGTTCCTAGCTCCAATTGTTTCAAGTTCACAATCCTATATACTCAGTATGTCTTCCATTAGTTATTACAGTGAAGACATGGTTCCACTCAGAACCACTGCTAGTCTCCAGTAAACAGGCCTTGTTTAGTGTGGATGGACTCTTGAACACCAGGTCCTGCCTCTAGGGAGGCCATGAGACAATCTTGCTGTTTCACATACAGCTGTTGTGACTGCCTTTGCTGCTTACCCTGCTTATATTATTTTTATTTTGCTCCTATTTAGGTCTTTGGAAGTCATTGCTGGTCTGGAAAGTAACAGCAAAATCTTCACTGTTTATGTGCATGGCTTACTGCAGCTGCAGGTAAGCCTTCACAGACTGGAAATCAATGTGCTACTTTGGTTGTCACAAACAGAGTATGGCAGGATGTGGAATGTTTTACTGGCCTGACTGAATTTTCACCAGGAGGCAGGGGAAGTTTTTATTAACCTCCTTTTTGAGGTTAAAGAGGTTAAATGACTTGTCTGGAGTGACTACAGAGAACCTGTGACACGGACAGGAACAAAAGTCAGACTTCCCTGTTGCACGTTCTCATCTTAAACCACGGTAGCAACCTTCCCTCTAAGGAATGACAATATTTTTCTCTCTCAAATCTGCGTTCAGATGTCCTGCCCTGTACTGTCAAGAGGGGCATCATATTACGCGCTCATATAAGAGAATCTGAAACACAGATGGCCGCTTGACTGCAGTCACCCAGAAAGGGCCTGGTGCAGTAAGGAGCTAGTTGGGTAATAAACCTACAGCACAGTTTCACTACAGAAAGTTTCTTCCACCAAGTCAAAGCCTCAGTGCTGCAGTGAAAGTGATTGCTCAGAGCCTGTCCCCAGGAGTCACAGAAAAGGAGACTGCTATGCTCAGCCTATGGTACTGAGATGCTTTTCTTTGTCATTTTTTTTCTTTCCCTTTTGTTCTCTCTGTGCAGGCTGGTCAGTACACCTCCATATTTGTGGACAACAGTGCGGGAGCTCCCATCACCATTCAGAATGGATCAGATTTCATGGGCATGTTAATGGGTGTGTAACATCAACATCTGCAGCAGTGTAGCAGGGAAGGATGTGAATTAGAGCCTTTCAGTATATATTTGACTGAAGAAATGTTTACTTTGACCCTTGAGGACTGCTTCCTGTAGCTTGTTGGCATCTTTTTAAACACAGTGAAGAGCCTTTTCTTTTGCAGACACTTCAGCTTGCTTTCAGAGGTTTTTCAAGGTGCCCACCAGTTCATCATAAAATTATACTTTTATAATTCAGAACCAAACTCTGTACTATTCAATTTGTGCTTCACCAGATGCTCACTGAACAATACACTGAAGTTTGGAATTTGTTACTTTATAGCTTTGTCACAATAACATTTGTAATCGTGTCTTTGGGATTGATTTTTGAGGTGTTTGAGTTTGTAAATGAAGGATTCAGCGGAGAAGTAAAGTAGTGGCTATATTCTGTGTGTTGTGGGGGAAGGAGACAAAGATTTGCCAGCGAAACTTTTTTTTTCATACGACTGGAACAGTACAGGCACTCTATCTTACTCAAACTTGGATATACCTGGCAAGAGGCATGCTGAATACTCAGACAATGCCCGCTTCACAGGTGGGAATCCAAGGCCTGAACTTTTTAATTGTGATTCTTTGTATCTAAGTATTTCCTTGATCTATTGTTGAAACTGAACACTGTTGCCTGTACAGTTCTGTTTTTATGAAAGGGTAAGCCCAACCAGGCAAGGGCACCAGTTCTAGCATGATCAACATTTATTCTTATGTTTTAGTAAGATGTAAATTTGGTTTTGGACAGCATCACATACACAGCGTTCTCTCAGGTGCCATATATTCATTTAAAAATTTGTCAAATTACAGTAGTTGCCAAAAGGCAGGCAAAGACGGTGACACTAGGAGCCTCAGATCAGATATCACACCTGTTTATGGTGCTTGTTTGACTGCATTGAAATAATGAATGAAAACCTAGGGTGAGACTTACTTTCACCAGGTGGCCAGGGTCATACAGAGTCTATCTGAGCTCTACTTAGGGGTTGTAAATGCTGTCCAAGACCCTCTGAAAGCCAACTTGAAGGCAGTGAGTTGTTCTGGGTTTGTACAAGTCTCAGTTTGCAAATGTAGGCATGTGAAATTGATCTTCAAAAGCACCTTTCCATGTAGCATCAGACTATAAACTGATCTTAAAGTCAAAAGACGCTGATGCTTCATGTGTCAATCAGTTATGTTGCCCAAGAAGTGGTTAAAAACTTTTTAATTAAAAAAAAAAAAAAATCCCACTTATTTTATGTACCTCTGAAGCTTTCCCCTTTAACAGAGACTTAGGCCTTCAGCTGAGGTAACTTAAATAGGGAAGTGGCTGGATAACAATCTGATAAATTCATAGTAGCAAGGCCAAAAGTGGAGTCCAGATGCTAAATCCTGAATGTACATGATGAATAGGAAATATCCACTGTATAATATTGTAATTTTTGATGATCTGCTGCAATATCTTCATGCAATGAAAACAGAGGCTGCTGGGGACGCCAGAAGATTGTCATCTGTTGCTGGGTCTGTTGGTCAGGATGATCAATATATGCTGTTTCTGCAAGCCCCAGTAACACTGCTGTTGAGGTTGGTGCACAAAGATGTCTTATTTCAAGAGCTGTGGAAAAATCTGCTGTAAAACAGACGTGGCTGAAACTGCTTTTTTCATTGCCATTCTAAATACCTGGAGACAAATTTTGAAGGGAGAACTAAATGATATTTTCCCTTTGCTAAGAATGTATTACAATGGTACCTGAGGGAAGAGGGAGAAGAGAGTAGCAGGAATAATCTAATAGTGCTATTCATCCTTCTAGTCAATAGAAAGAAAATGTTCTGACTGGATTTGTGTGACTGTCTAAAATATAGCATCTGTAAAGGTATATATTACCCTGAATTAATTCTTGCTCCACAATACATGCCAGCCATCCACATGCCTGTGGATTTTTTTTGTAGTATGCTTTGGGAAGAATGCACTTCTAAGCATAAACTGTAGTGCTTCCCTGACAGAGGGAATCCACACCTGTGGAAAGACATAGCAAGTAGCCACAGTAATGATTTTGGGCCTTCAGAAATCCCTATCAACAAGGGTTGGCTGTTTACATTGGATTTTGATGGAGTAGATGTAGTCAGGGCAAGTGCCCTATATCCCAAAATGTATTACTCTACTGTACTTTATATTGTGTGAATATTTGTAATAAATTGAGCTGTTTTATATAAGACTTACAGCAACAAAATCAGTGTTGTGACATTCAATGTATATTGTTATACTGATGAGCTTTTTTGAACAAACTCTCACTGTTCTTGGTAAATCAGAGTTAAAATATTTATTTTGTTGTAGAACTAAAAGTGTTTGTCTGACTTTGTTTTGGGATTTATATCTGTTGCATTTTTTTCCTATGAATTTCTTAAAGGTGAATTGTTCTGCCTTTATTTATATAAGGAGTGCTGTCTGGACTAATGCATCTAAATGCATATTCAAAGTCAGTCCTAAGAAGGACACAGCCTAAACAGTGAAGGCTTAAATTTTCCTAGGAAGAGGAAGTGATTTGCTTGTGGACACAGAGACATAATAGAGCTATGTCCTGGTACCTCTTAGCGTGTTCTTTTCTGTAAGCCACATTGCCTTTCTGGTTGGATCAGCAAAGAGTTTGGGTCTGACCCAGGACAGACCCAATCTATTAGAGTTGGGAAAGGAAGCGAAATTAGTAGAAGAAATGACGTTCTCCTTTAAGTTTGTCCCGAGTTCACTGCCAGCAGTAGAAGGCTTGTGGGGTTTTGATCAGCTCTTTTTATTCTCAGTGCGAGAAGGGTTATTGCTTAAGAAATTTTCCTGTGCATCATCTCTGAGCTCTGAATGCCACCAGAGTGCAGCGCTCTTGTATCCTGGGGCTTTATCAGCAATCAATGCAAGCGTGAGGTTGTCCTTCCAGTAGTAAGATGCTGGTGAAACAAAGCACTTGAAACAAGCTGGGACTGCCCTCTGCATGTGTACAAAACTCATGACTAATATGGACCTAGCTGAAAACAAAAGCCTCCCAGCTGGGCCATCGCTAGGACAAATGCTCTGCTAGGCTTTAGTGCTGTTTGGAGGCTGAAGAGCTTAATGGTGTGAGCAGCAATGTTTCAATGCTCCTAAGTTAGTAGCTCCTCTGTTTGTGGTCATAAAATGTATATTCCAAGAAAACATGAGAACTCAGGAGGACTTGAGTTCAATGTAAAGTTGTTGTTTATAACAATAAAACCCATGTGCTTGAGCTTATAGTGAACGGCCAAGTGTGTTAATCCCACCCAAAGGGAATGGAGGAGTTCTCTGGCAGGCAAGGAGGAGAAATGTGAAAGAGGCACAAATTAAACAGCTTTTTTTGAGAAGTCAGCTTTTCCAGCCTGGCCTTTATATGCCTGATCTGTGAAGAGTCCCTCAGAGAGGAGAGGCTTGGTTTGAATCACTAAGGAGTAGTAGGGAGGCTGGATTTAGCAATGAAGAGAGTTATGAGAGCAAAAGCGAGTAAGCGGATTGCTGGAAAAACATTTTGTCCGTGTATTCCTACCACTGGAAGAGCAGCACTGAGGGACTCCAGCCAAGATTGTCTCAAGCAGCCTGTTGGGAGAGGCACTTACAGGAGTAAAGCATGGCTGAGCTGCTGCACACCTTTGTCATAGTCTTCTGTCTGAACTCATGCCTTTAAAGAATATTTTGTGTTTCCCATTAAGGGCTGCAAGTCCTACAGCACAGCATGGTTATTACTAGGACTGTGCTCATGGCTGAGAGTTGTGCTAGAGTCTGATCACATATGCATAGGAGAGCTTCTAAGATAATAACTGGGCAAAGCTTATGTTCTGCTAAAGAAATTGCCTCTAGCATGTTCAAAGGACATCCATATGCTGAAGATGCTAAAGCATTTCTCATTTGGATGATAATTTTCTCCGAGTGTCTTTAAGGCAACATTTATTGCACAGAGGTGCGCAGGTGGCTTCTCTACTCCATTGCAGAAATGACTGCATCTTCTCCTGTGCCAAAAGAGACTGTCTACAAAGCATAAGAAGAAATAATTATTTCTTTTGTACCTTCTTTTTTTCTGGTTACTACTTGGATGCGCAGTATGCATCCCTTTGTATGACCTCAGGCCAGAGGACAGGATGGGGGCACTCCATCATGTGGGGGTACCTGCAGGTACTAGTACAATAGGAAACACAGTCAATGTTTTATAAAACAAATTTCTAAGGAGGTTAGGGTTGCACCTTGGACAATGCTTCAGGGGAAGAGGAAGTAGTGAAAAGACAATTGTACTTTATCAGAACAAGTTTGCTTCTTAACCTCATCTCTGAGTTCTTTGTAGAAATGTTTACTACAGAAACACCTTCAAAGAATTTTAAAACATGAATAACTTTTGCTTGCATTCAAAATATAAGAACATTTTCAAAAGGGATGTATGACATCCCACGTGGCTTATAAAGCTCTGCTGTCTTCCCCATGTTCTTGCTTACTCATCGTCCTCCCAAACCCTTCCTCTGCAAAGGCCTCACTCAACCTTTGTAACAATCTGTATTGAGCTTATTATGCTGTATGCAGTTCAGAGGCAGAAAAAAAAATGCAAATCAGAACAGTTTTATTGGAGTCAATGCTCTGCAGATCTCCCTCAACTGAGGGAGATGTGTTCCCTCTCCAGGGTTCTGAGATTTCTTGCCTGAGTTCTTCCTACCTGAGAGAGCCTTTTGCTTCTAAGATACTGGCACTGAATTTGATGTTCCAGTTATACGCTACTCTCTGAGCTAAACATTCTGCATTGCGCGGAGCTCTTTCTGGTTGCTACAGTTCCCTCTTACACAGACCATGATGTAAACAGACTGCTTTACTGCATAGCTTACATTTCAGGAACAGTAAACCAAGCCACGCTAGGATGAGCAATAACTGCTAATTTCAGCGTCTATTAAAGTGATTATCTTTGCTCATAATTCCTTATTCTAAACAGAGTCCAGCTAAAAGTTTCCAGATTCAGGCTAAAGTTACTTGCTTAGTGAGGTGATAAATATTACAGCCTCATGATTCTGGGGTGTGCCTCTGCCCTTGCCTCGAAGGTCTAGGCTACACAGTCTTGCTGACGCTTTTTAGCTCCCTGTATTCTGGATGCCCTCACAAAACGTGGTGGTAACTGTGGTTTATGAACCTGATGGACGGCCCACTGAGGCCAGTGGAAAATCTGGCACAAATGCCAGCGATTCATCCCAGAGTGCAGACATTTGGGTCTAGGTCAGGGGTTAACTCCAGAGTTGCTTTCCGATGTGTTTCTGCTGGCATGGCCACTATGAACTTCATTATATGAGCTTCATGGATGAAGGATCCATTAAATTGTCCTGATACTGCTATTTTTCACTGCTCTTATGCTTACTCCTTTGCTAGCTGGCTCAGAAGGGCGTAGTAAAGTACTGAATCAGCTCTTTGCACGTGGATTCTGCAGTGAACTCTCCATTTGGTTCACACAGGGCCTTGAGGAAGCCCTTGGGTAGGCTATGTTAGAGTTAAGCGCTGAGCAGAGCTAACTCCATAATGCCAGGGCTGTCCAGTCTGCACCCCTACTCCCTCTGCTAACTGCTTAGAAGAAATCAAAGCAATCTTCCAGGCATTGAGATTGCAGTTGCAGGCAGTCTGTGAGTATTTTCCCTGGCTGGGAGCTGACAGGTTATGAGGTTTTAAGCTCTATTCAAATTTCAAGTTTTGTAAATGATTTTGATGCCACACTCCAGACTGACTCCAGGGGTATTTATGTTGGATTAGCAGCAGATTGCCTGCCTTTCCTCACTCAATAGAAGAGAGCCCAGCACATGTAAACTCCCCTTGAATGGTGGGCTATTAACCTTCAAGCAAAATGATTACTTTGTCTTATAAAAGTCAGTTATAAATAGGGACAGATTATAAACCAGTCCCAAGGATGCTGATGAAGTCAAACAGAAATAGAGAGCCTTCCCAAGCCTTTTCTCTTAGAGAAGCCTGCTTATACAAGTGAGCAAGAGAGTGTTAGTTAAATGGTTAGCTAGTCTTAAGGGAAAACTTAAGGGTAATATGAAAACTGTTCTGAACTGATAACTCTAGTAAAAAAGCAGAGTAAAATCAGCCTCATATATGCCTTAATGCTATATGATATTTATGAATTAATACCATGTACTTTGCCATTGTAACTACCTGCACAGAGAAAGGCTTAACAGCAGGTTCCAAAGGGCTGAGTCTCGTTAAGGGTCAATAAAAAATTAGCAGGCTGGTGGCCCTGTAAAAATAGAGCTATGTACCAAAAAGACCTTGAGTCTTTGCTGCTTTGTGCCCTGGCCCACATATATGGAAAGAAAGCATCAGACTCTGATTGATTGCCTAACTTACTCTTTCTCAGATACTTTTCATAATACTTATGTTAGGTTGATATCAATGGAGACTGAAAGGTCATGGCATTAGGGGATTCAGGTGTACCAAATGTACTGCAGGATAGCCAACTTCCTGCAGTGCTTCTAGGGCTCAGTATTCCCCTAATAAGTCACCAGTTGGAAAGGATAGGTAGGCTCTTACAGGGGTAGTGTTGATGAGTAGGTGCTGGGTCTCTGTGGACTGGAAGAGTTACATCTGCAGGTTAGTCACACAACTTCATTATTTAAAATGTGGAAAGAAGTCTCCTTGTGATTTCTGTTCAAGTGTCCTTTATCTCCAGGACATCTTCTGTGCTCTTTGAGGAACAGTGCTTTTCCTTTGTCCTTGGCAGGCACTTCTGATTTAAAATGGCCTTGCAGGTTCTCAGAGGGCCCTTGGAACAAATGTATTTCCAATTGTTACAGCCTGAATCTCTCCTTCCTTATGGCTTTGTGAGAAGTTTGGGGCCAGGGGAGTGCTAGAGTATGCTTAATAATCTCATATTCTTAAGAATGGAAATGTCTTATCCCCCTTTATTAAGCATTTCTGAAAAATGGCATGGGGAAGATGGTCTGCCAGCTATGCCAACAACGTCATTCCTTCTTTCCAAAGGCTATAATATTCCAAAATAACTAGTTTATTTATTAAAGTGACTTCAGCTCAGCTTGGTGCTGAATTTGTCCCATCTTGCAAGGGCTTGCTGCGTAGGGGCCAAACACAGGTCCTTTTAGGATGTCTCACATTGAAATCCCAAAAATCTCTCTGGAAAAATCTGAACTCCAGTCCTGGGACCCCTGGGCTGAGTTTTGAGTCCAGAACAGACTGAATTCAAAGCATAAGAGCCCAGGCTACCTCCTAGCCCTACTTCTCACTATGCTTCTCTGTGCCAGGTGCTTGGTGCTATTTTTCTGTAGGCAGGCTGTTCCACCCTATAC